CCTAAATATGTGTGTAAAATGAGCTGATAAACCAGAGTGCTACTTTTTTTTAATATTTCTGTGATTTATAAGATATATATGCTTTTTATGTTAATATGAGCTTGTGCACAATGTTTAAAAGAAAATTAGAAGAGTTGGGGAACTAAAAGTCTGTGACATATTTCATATAGAATTTTTATGGAAAAACAACTAGTCTTGGCAAACATTTGACCATGTGAGGCGTGTGGTCAGTTTCCATTTTCTGTGACCTGAGAGGGCCACAAGGAAGTAGGGCTTAGTTGGCTTGATTCTTTAATTGTAAAGTAAGATAGTTGTGCTCCAGATATGAATTGAGGTGGTTGCTACTTTTATACTTGTTCTTTTAACATCTGTGGTGGAGAGGATGGGAAATCAATCAGGGATGAGGCTGATTGTCCTGCCCTGCCCTACAATACCAATTTCAATAACAATCCTGCCTCTAATTGCACTGAAAATCTTAAAATCATGTTTAGAATATGTTGAGTCTAGGGACAGCTATGGTACTGAGCAGCCGTGGACCAGGGGACACTGAGTTCCGCATCGGCAGTCTTGCAGACCTAGGAGAAGCACCTTCCACAGTCTAGGAAATCTCCTGACCAGCTGATGCTCACTGGGCCCTACTCTACGGATCCCCTGAGTGGCGGCTGCCCTGGTGGCCCGTCCCATATACTGCCTGGCTGGGACTTGACACCTCTCAGTCCCTTTTGTGCTCTCCAAGATGACAAGACTTGACCACAGAACTCCCTGGCTCATCCTGTTAAATTTTAATTCGTAACTTAAATACTAGTAGCAAAAACTCAATTTTATTCATTCAGAAAGTTGCCAATTGTGAATGAGAACAGGAAGAATAAACTGTACTGAAATGTGATTTGCTGCATCAGTCACGTTGTTTTGCTGAATTAGCTTTTTAACTGCCTCTTGCTCGTCACTAGATTTATTACAGTGTATTCTTAACAGTTTTTTTAAAGACGAAGGTACAAACCATGTGCTATATATGAATCCAATGCCTAAACTAACTTGCTAATTTCTCTAACACAGAAATTTCCCACAAACTTAAGTGCCTACACGTAGGGCTTTTTAATTTTCAGTTATGTTTTTAGTGGTGTCTCAGTGAACGATGTATTAGAACCTGTGTTCCATTTGGAGTTTGTTGCCTGTGCACTGTCAACCCCAATTCCCAATTTAGCCGAGGCTGGCTTCGATTGCTCAGTTCACCTGCCATTCTCTCTCCAAGAGTGGGGTCCCTGTGCCTGTCGGTCTCTACCTCAGAGCCCCGAGTCATCTCTGCCCCCTGCTCAGCTCCCTCACTCTCCTCCCTGAATGGGGTCCCTGCATGTGGGATCCCCACCACTCCCAACCCACGTCCCCGACCTGTTGTGCTGAATGGTATTGTGCTAATCTTGTCTACAGGCATGAAGTGGAGGGGAAGTCTTGGGAGGGGAGAGCCTTGATCTCCATCTAGGTTCCTTTAATGTGGAGAAAGAACACTGTTGGACTACGTACTGCTTAGACATGAAAGGCAACCTAACACCCCAGGTGACGGCCTGAGCAGGTAAATACAGCTTCCACCGACACACCCACTTGGAGTTTACAGGCTGAGACAAGGAGCTCCTGCAACAAAGTTTCTTCCAGGACCTGGGATTGCTTCCCTCAGGACAAGCCCCAGAACTGGGCACTGCCAGCCCAGAGCCTCCTGATCCAAAGCAGCAGCGCTCCCACTCCCAGCTGGGAGAGGAGGCAGAGGGGAGACTTCTGAAAGAAGTTTGGAGGCCACATTCTCATTTTGTGGAAATAACTTAGTGAAGAGCTGATTATTTGACAAGATATCAACTAAGCATTTATTAAATTCCCAGAAGTTATCATAGATGCCTTAAAGACTTTTTTTGGAAGATCATTGCCTGTATGTTTCCTTTTTTGTGTGGCATAAATAATATATTAACCTGTTACAATTGACAGCATTGGTTTTCTGTAGCTGGGAAGTCTCAAGTTGGCAGACTGACTTAATGGCTTGTCCTTTTTCGGCAGATGTGTAGAGTCGGCTGTTACCAAGAGAGGGCGATAGCTGGGCAGAAACTGCAGCAACACATTTGGGTTGATCACCTTGGCTTTCAAGCCATTTGGGGTGTTCAGTGTGGGATGATGGCATCGTATAGGACCATGGCGCTTATCAGCATTGTTTCTTTGGAGTCCATGTAATGGAATGTATTTTTCAAATATTGACATTTGCATTTTCTGTAACAATTCCTTATAATAAAATGAGGTAAAATCGTGCATTTAAAGTGGAAACTTTAATAACACATTTGTAGTTACTTTTAATGCAGAAGTGCCAATAAGCACTAAAAACAAACATTTTTAAAACTCCTGACATGTGAATAAGTTTAACAATTACCCTCTAGGAAAGTTTGAATTTCTAGCACTTTTCAGAAACACTATTGACAGCAGTCAAAAAGTAGCTATTTTAGGCCTAATGACCAGCTGCCTGGATTTACTGTGCTCTTGGCCCAGCTGCAGCTCATGGCAGTGTGCATGGTCACAGCTGCAGTTTCAGTCACCTGACCCCACTGGTGCTCTCCAAGAGACCCTGGAAATTCCCTCTGGCTCTGTTACTGAGGAGCAACTCAGGAGATCCACCCGTGGTGAGGTTTCTGCTGGTCTTGAGCTGGAGGGAGGACTGGCACTGTGGTTTCATAGAATACTAAGGAAGGGTTAGGGTCTTGCAAATTAAAATTTAGGGACCTGTAGAGACCCTGCATGAACTGTACAAATCTAGCGGCTCAGCTGGCCCTCCTACTCTCTTGAACTAATGTACTCCCCCTTTACCTGTCCATTTGGCTGACCCCCTACTTCAGACCAGCTGTGGTGAGATACTGCTTCTCTGGTGGCTTTTCTCATGGTTAATTGGAACTGTTAAGTGCTCCCAAGTAACCCAAATAACCACCCTTGAGATGACCACTAGGCATATTATGTCATAGTATGTGACTATGAACAGGAACCAGGCACGCATCGACTTGCCCCATTTTTGCCCACCAAGGGAAGAGCACTGGGTTTTAGTTCTGCTTTGCCATTGTTAACTGACAGTATTGGGCAAATGTCATAATTTCTGTGCCTCAGTGTCTGGATCTATAACATGGAAATGACCATGGTCCTTTTAGCTCACAGGGTCACCTTGAGGAAGGTGGTCAGTAATGTCCTTCCTCTCGTGCAAGTGCAGAGTCTGGCGTGCACACTGAGCACGCCCTCCAGTGAGTGATGTTGGGAGCAGTGTCTGCTGCCTACTTGCAGGAATCTGGGGCCTCTGATAGTAGAAAGTGCTCTTGAGGGGTACCAAGGAGCACTGCAGCTTTTTGGACAGACACAGGCCCCAGCCTGTGTAGGGGTCTATTAGATCACAGCTTGTCCTGGAGCTAAGCAAGCAAGGGGATAGGGGTGATGGCTCCCTTGTAGTCATGCAGTGAAGCTGTGACCAAAAACTCCTGGGCTCTTCACTCTCAATTCTGTGTTTATAGAAAACTGGAATCTCAGAATTCAAAGGCAGATGTTACAGTTTCCTTCAGCAGGTTGGAGGGCAGCTGCCCCACCTTTGCTTTAACATCACTCAGTGGTGTGGCAGAGGGAGCCGACTTGGTAAAAACTTATGGGCTCTGTCACGCGATGACCGCTGTAACTGTTAGAGGGTGGGGGCAGTGGGAGACTTAGGCCCTTTTTCGGTCCATAAAATGAGGCCCTCTCAAGGCTGGCATGGAGGTTACATGAGAACAGATAAAGCTCCCTGCCCAGCATAGTTGCCCAACATGGATTAGTTTTCTTCTCCACGTCCCTCTGCCAGCAGGTCGTCTGCCTGAGTTGAACTCTGGCTTTCATCAGTGGGATGCTGCTTCCTCCCTAAGTTTGCCCAGGACCACCGCTATTGAGAGAAAGGAGAGGCGTTTCCACTAACCACTCACTTCCCATGGCTAAGCCCTCTGACCATTAAAATAACCTACTCTTGCTGAATCCTTAGATTCCCCCACTGCCCCCACGTGAGGAGGCTGTTTACTATAAAGTGAGTGGTTGGCATCAAGCAGAAAAATTCTCACTGAGCAAGGAAGCCAGCAGCCTACTGAGGCTGGCTGTGTGCCCTGCACTGTGGGTTCAGGGGTCTGCGTCCAGCAGAGATTAGGCAACTTCTACTGCTACCCATGCCCACAAAGGATGCCTCTGGTTTTGGAAGGGTCTGAACATCTCTGGGCCTGGTCCCTATACCATCCCTGCATTTCTACCTGCATTTCTACTATACTGTAAGCTCCCTGAGGTCTGGAGCCTCGCTGTCCTCCACCCCCCTCCCCATGGCTTGGTAAATATTTGTTAAATAACCAAGGATGACCAGAGCAGTGGCAATGACTAGTTCCCAGTTAGGTGGAGTTGAGGGCTGCTTCCAGTGATCAGGGCTGCCTCAGGCACTGAGCTCGGGCTGTGTGGAATGCTGAAGAGGTCTTAAGCTCAGCTCTCTTATCTGCTCCTGCTCCAGAGAGGGCAGAGACATACCAAACTGGAGGAGTGAAATAGCACTGAACCAGGATGAGAACCTTGAGTCCTAGGATTGGCTCCACTGCTCTGTGCCCTTTAGGTTTTTGGACCTTGGCTGCCTCATCTCCAAAACAAGAACTAACTGTACATGTACCCTGTGCTCTGTGGATATAGGTACAAAAACCAGTAGTCCTAGCCCCTTTCCTCAGTGTGCAGTTCAATGTGAGAGGCTGATGGGAAATCCATGGCTACACAACATGATTTGTTTCTGAGAAGGAACACATGGAACTTGTATTGTGGAAACCTGGGGGAAAGTGCATCTAAATCCAACTAGTATGCCCGGCTGGGGTGGCTCAGTGGTTGAGCACTGACCTAGGATCCAGGTGATCAGGGTTCGATTCCCAGTCAGGGCACATGCCCGGGTTGCGGGCTTGATCCCCAGTCGGGGGCATGCAGGAGGCAGCTGATCAATGACTCTCTCATCATTGATGTTTCCCTCTCTCCCCCTCTCCCTTCCTCAGTCTGAAATCAATTAAAAAATATTTGTTAAGTCCAACTGGTGGGCCAATGGTTAATGAAGGCTCCCAAGAAGTAATTGAGCTGAGTTCTGAAGAGAGAAGCGGGGGACAAATTGAGTGGAGGAAGAGGTACCATTCCAGGCAGAAGGGACAACCTGGGTGAAGGCACCGTAGGCACAATGCAGTGAGGTGGAGGCTGGAGGCAACGTGGATGTGGGGGGTGGGAGAAATACAGGCCGGAGGAGACAGACCATAGAAGAGCCTTGTGTGCCACGCTGCTGAAGTCAGCACTTGATCCTCATAGATACGACGACCACTGAAGAGGTTCAAATGGGGAACACCCTGGTCATCAAGGATGACTCGCAGCAGTGGGGAGGGTGGGCCGGAGGGAGGGAGGACAGCCTGAAGCAGAGGAGAGCATCGGAATGGGTAAGAGGGAAGGAGGGGGAGCTGAAGAGGTACGGGTGCCCGGACGCGGCGATGGGTTGGGAGGAGGGGAGCAGCAGAGGCAGGATGTGTGGATGACCGCCAGGATCCTTACTTGGTGTGACTGGGTTTAGACGGTGACGGTGGAACCATCATCAGGGGGAACCAGAAGAATCAGGGAAAAGATGAAGACTGAATGCCAGAAACGCAGAGTGGTGCCTACAGAACTGGTCAGGAAAGGCATCCAGACTAGATGCATGGTGCCTACAGAACTGCTCAGGAAAGGCATCCAGACTAGATGCATGGTGCCTACACATCTGCTCAGGAAAGGCGTCCAGACTAGATGCATGGTCGCTGAAGCAGGAGTGAGAAGAGTTAGTGGGAAGGGGCTCACGCAGGAGGGAGGCTTTCAAGGAACCGGGCCATGGGATTGGCCGATGCAGATTTGTCCTGCTGTTGATCAGGGAAGGGCAGAAGCCGGGCACATGGTGGCTGAGGAGCAGAGTGGGTACCTGCGGCTTTCCCAGAAATCCTATCTATGACGGGAATAGATAAGGCGCTGCAGAAGAATGTATGGAGGGAGTGCTTTATTCATGACGTGAGGGAATTAAGCTGTTTCATGCGGACTTAGAGCCAGGAGGCAGGGAGAGGTTAAAGGTACAGGAAGGGCAGGTGAGGAAGATCCTGGGGTGGCAGAAGGAGTCAAGAGCAGAGTCCGGTAGAAGCGACAGGTGTGGCCACAAAAGCAGTGAACCACAGACTGCTCATGTAGGGGAGGCAGCTTCCATTTTCTAGTCACTGAATCTGGAAAGCTATTTAGTGAGAACAATGATAAAGGAGACAAAAGAACAGAGAATGTTTAAGAGTTGAGTCCTGGCCGGTTTGGCTCAGTAGTTAGAGCACTAGCCTGTGAACTGAAGGGCCTTGGGTTCGATTCCCAGTCAAGGACACGAACCTGGGTTGCAGGCTTGGTCCTGGCCCCAGTTAAGGCATGTGCAGAGGGCAGCCAATCTGTGTGTCTCTTTCACATCTGTGTTTCTCTCTCCTCCCTCCCCCCTTTCACTCTCTCTAAAAATCAATGAAAAAATATCCCCAGGTGAAGATTAACAACAACAAAAAAAGAGTTGAGGGGGTTGAGAAAGGAGTTGACAGAAGGCTCAAATGAGGAAAGACCATGCGTCTGTAATACCCCAGGCTTCACTGCCTTATCTGCAAAGTAGAAACACTCCTTGCCCCCCTCTGCTTAACAAGAATCCAGGAGGTAATGGGTATGAAATATGTCAAGTGTAGAGTACAATGACCTTGGACACAACCCACTGGAAGAGTTGCATGCCCAGCCACTGTCAAATTGAGGCTGTTTATACTGGCATTTGCAGCCTTGGGCAAACTTTGACGTTGCGCTAGCCAGTTACCCTTGTTAGAGCTCTGAAACTACCTTTTGCCAAAAATGCAGAATTCTCTCTCTGAAAACACACCACACCTACTTTTCAGTGTTCGAAAGAGAAACAATATCCTTGCTTTAAATTTAAAGAGGCATCTGGATTTCTTGCATCTATATAAGCAAAAGCTTTTCCAATTTCCAGAATTAGTCTACTCTTGTATTGTCTCCTCTCACTGAATTGGCCCAGTTCCTATCCACTAAATGCGGCTTTTGGTTGTAAATTAGGGAAGAGGTCTTCCATGTAAGAAAGGTCATAAAAGTCGGGTGACAAGTTTCGCCATCAGGGAACCTGGAAGAGTCATGCTGCTCTTCTTGGTCTCGTGTCTTTTCTGGATGCACCTGCTTGTTTCCAAGCTGTAAGAGAGTGAGGTGGTCCCTTTTTGGCAGTGCCCCCGACCGGGCCAGCAGCTGATCTGGGCAGCCTGAGAGTCCATGGGAAGGAGGTTTTTGGAGCTCAGAGCCCTTTGTCCAGTTAATTTTGAGTTGGTCACGTGTGTGCCCATTAATATTTGAGGGCTCTGAAGGAGGACGGCAAATAGGTCTAGGGGAATAGTGGCAAAAACTGGCTGACCAGTATTAGGCAGGTTGCCGAGTACTGGCCTCAGTCCCCAGAATGGTGAACCCATGGTGAGGGGTCATGGGTCACATTTGCAGAGGCCAGAGTCCTTCCAGGCCCTCTTGTTTGATGTCAGGAGCCATCCTAGGGCATGTGAGTCAAGGGTCCATTAGGCTTCTATGTGGGTTATGGGAAGGAGCATGTGATGGCCAGAGGTGGGCAACCTGTATATTCCTCCAAGCTGGGGTGGTCCAAGTCCCCACGATTTCTGTGTGTAGGGTCGTCCGACGCCAGGTCACTAGGGGGGCCGGTGGTTCTCACACACACACAGTGGGGCTCCTTGGCGCCTGGCTTATACAGCTTCCTGGGGACACCAATCCAGTCTCTGCTAACACCTCCACTAAAGATAGAAGGAGAAGGAACTGCTTAGAAGTGTGAACTAGTGAGTCAGTCTGGGAGGGGAGAGAAGGAAGCCTAGGCCTGGTGAAAGTAGAAGTCATTCTACTTGCCACCTTGATGTTTTCCCAAGGCAGTGGTCTGCAGTGTTTAGCCCCTGAACCTTGTGCTCTCTCCTAACTTCCTCCAGCTTCCCCTGACCAGGGAATTGTCCTTGCACTGCTCCCTGGCCCTGCCCCGGCCCTGTGCCTTCCTGGGAGGCAGCACCTGTGAAAGGGTTTCCCCACTGGCCTGTGAGCTTCTCAGAAGCAGTGTCTGGCCCTGATTCTCTCTTCCTTTCCCCAGTACATCCTAGTGCTGGGTTGTGTTTTGATCTGAGGGTCTTGGACACTTGGTAGGGGTGGACAACTGAGGCAGCAACATAAGGCCTGATGGTCAGCCTTCTATGAGAGGCCCTTTACTGCCCCTTGCCCAGGCCTGTCCTTGATGTCACTTGGTCCAGCACAGCCTGAGCAACCTCCTGTCCTGGGCAGGGGGACCTACCTCATCTTAGGGTACTGAGTTTGGTCTCCCAAGGACTCAAAAGCCTTGCCAAAACTAAAGGAGATTCTTGGAATTGATACCTGTGTAGGTTCCAATGCCTGGTACCAGACTCACTTGTTGTCAGAGAAACTACCACCTCGTTAGAAGCCAAGCCACCTATAGCTTACCCAAGAGGGAAGGGTGCTGAAATGCCGCCCTCCTTCCTTCCAGCCACTCATCCCATCGTCAGTGAACCTTACTCCATAGCTAGTCCCTGCCTCCAGACTCGCTTCTCCAGTCTCCAGGGAGAAACATGCATATAGAAAACAACAAATTGGGTTGAGGCATAGAAATAGGGTCAAGCTCCTTGGAGTTGGTCTGGGAGAGCTTCGTGGGGAAGGCAGAGCCTAGCAACTCAGTCATGAAAGCAAGAAGGGGTTACACAAAGACAGAGGAGGACTGTGGGGGATGGAGAGGGAGGCAGGCTCTCCAAGGCGGCAAAGTCAAGCTTTTACAACATGTTAAAAATCAAGTGGGAGGCCCAGCCAGCGTGGCTCAGCGGCTGAGAATCGACCTAGGATCCAGGAGATTGCGGTTCGATTCCTGGTCAGGGCACATGCCCAGGTTGTGGGCTCCATCCCCAGTAGGGGGCGTGCAGGAGGCAGCTGATCAAAGAGTCTCTCATCATTGATGTTTCTCTCCCCCTCTCCCTTCCTCTCTCTGAAATCAATAAAGTCATATTTTAAAAAAAAAAGGAAAAAAGGAAAAAAAAAAGATGCCCAGATCTCGATCCTAATATTCTCATCCAGTTGCCTGGCATGAGGTCCCACCATCAGCAATTTTTAAAAATTGCTCAGAAGATCCTAACATGTAGCCAAAAGTTGAGAATCACCATCCCAGAGCACATGTATTTTGAAAAAGTTCCCCTGGGTTAACAACTTACGCTTCCCTGAACAACAGGATGAGCTCTTAGTTGGCTCTGGGAGCGAGGAGGACGCAGCGGAAGGGGAGCCCGCTTACCTCGTCTGGGAACACCAGACCCGGCTGCCCCGTGCTGCGCTCCACTCCGCATTGCACGGTGGGAACTTCTGCTTCTCTTTCAGTTCCTGTTTGTTTGCTTCCAAGCCTTTGGTGATCATGGCTTCTACCTGGGTCAGTTCTGGGGTGGGTAGCCCGTCCTCTCCATAGAATCTTCCTATCACCTTTCCTGTGGTGACAGGAGAGCTGATGTCAGAAACGGGGAGGGAGGCATGAAGAGATGCTTAGCTTCTCCCACGGTGGTAGCAGCTCAGGTTCCCAGCCTTTCTGGTGGCAGGGCCCTACAGTAGCCTGCTGGCTGCTTATTTCTTAAGAGCTCATATTGGAGGGGCTTGTGGCACCTTCTATCCCAATGTCTCTCAACATCTTACAAGACTCCAAGTAGAAGCATCCCTTTTGTAGTTGTAGAGTCTTGAGGAAATTATAAGATGTCTCACTTCCAGACATCAGTTCCTTGAGAATGGAATCATGTGTGATTCATTTTCAATGTTCCACAGTGCCTGAGGCACACAGTAGGTGTTCAATAAATGTTTGACAAATAAATGACTTACTGTGTAACATTTTTGTGGCCCAATTCTTCCCAACATTGAATTATTTTGTCTTATATAAATAAATCACTACTGAGCATTACTTAGTGGCAGGCGCTATGCTAGCACTTCACTAATACTTTCTGAATCCTCATAACAACCCCGTGAGAGAGTAATTGTTCCCATATTTACAGGAGAGGGACAGGGAGGAGTCTGTGGAACCAGTGAGTGGGTCTGCCCCATGCGCATGCTCTCCCCTCCACCGTTCTCTTCTTGCTCAGTCCCTTGGTGGACATACTGAGTGGACACTGGGTTTAGTTTAAAATCCCTGTCAGAATTGTAAAGGTCTAAGCTATGGCAGCAGGCAGCAAGTGGTCAGAGAGCCTGTAGGCCAAAGCCACAAAGGGATCAGTTCTTCTTAAGGGCAGAACTTCCATCCCCAAGTTTTGGGTGTAAGTGGCCTTCCCAGGCACCCCATCACAGGGCAAGAGACACAGCAGAAAGCACTTCTAGAAGGTCTGAGCACACAGGAGGAGGCAGCAGTGTATACATGCCCCAGCTGTGTCTGTCCAACCTCTCCAGCCCAAGCACTGACTGAGATGCCAGCAGCAGTTACAGTGCACCCGAGATTCAGTTCATCCCCTCAAGTTTAACTCCGCATCTGGACTTTTCTAACTATTTATGACACTCACTTCTGGCATTTGTTATTTGGATTCAGAGCCTTGGATCTCTGACACCTCCTCCCTCACATCCAAATGCATGCTTCCATTTGTTCATGTCTAACCCATTAGCAGCTCTGTCAGTCCAGCCTTTAAAAAACACCCTGATTTTATGTTTTTCCATTTGTACTATGACCACCCTAATCCAGACTGTGGATTACAACAGCCTCCCAACTGGTATATCTCCTCCAGCTCATACCTTCCTACAGTTCTTTCTCCATAGAGCAGCTGGGTGATCATTTAAAAACATGAATATCATGCCCAGCTGGAGTGGCTCAGTGGCTGAGCATCAACCTGTGATCCAGATCGCAGTTTCAGTTCCCGGTGAGGGCACATGCCTGGGTTGCGGGCTTGATCCCCAGTGGGCAGCTGATCAATGACTCTCTCACCATTGATGCTTTTATCTATCTCTCTCCCTCTCCTTTCCTCTCTCTTAAATCAATAAAGACATAGTAAGAAAATAAATAATAAATAAGTAAAAATACAAAAATAAAAACATGAATATCATGTCATCTCCATGCCTGGTTTAAACCCTTCAGTGGCTTCCTAAAGCATGTGGGTAAAATGCAAACTTCTATCAAGGCCCCTAAGACTAGAGCCACCCAAGTTCTGTTTGCCTTCCAAACCTCTTCTCAAGCTGTCTCTCCCTCATTTACTGCAGGCTCCCGCAGGCTGGCTGCCTTCCTACTCTCTGACCACAATTAGCTGCCCCTCACTTCAGGCACCGCTGTTCCCTCAGCCTGAAATAATCTTTTTCCAGATCTCAGCATGGCTGGCTACTCACCTTCCAGGCCTCAGCTTACCTGTCATTGCCAGGAGACCTCCCTGACCATCCTCTCTGAAGGTGCCACACCCCCCACACATGCATCGCATTAGTTTTATTCATTCACAGCCCTTTCTGGACTGGTCTGATCTGTTTACTTATTTATGATATATCTCTCCCTACCATGAGGCCCCAGCACTCATACCTTCCTACAGTTCTTCCTCCATAGAGCAGCTGGGCGATCATTTAAAAACATGAATATCATGCCCAGCTGGAGTGGCACTCATGTTAAGTGCTTGTTAGAATAAATGAAGGGCTCAGGGCCCTAGTCCCAGGCCTACGTCTATAAGTTGGCCTGGCACAAGAACTTCTCCTATAGAGGGTCTCTGTGTGCATGGTGACAAGGCTGTCTTGGTGGCTTTTAGACATGAGACCCAGAGAGAGCAGTAGTAGTAGAGGCAACAGAAAGAGTTGTAGCAGCTGCATCACGAGAACGATGGTCACCATTGGCTGGGTCTCTAAAGCCAGTGCTATGTCCAGAAAACAACAAAAGATATCTTGTTTTCCCTGGAGGCCTGGCCATGTGGCTGCCAAGCTGGCTTTCTGGTTGTCTTCACCTCAGTATGCACCCATATAATACACCTGTACCCTCTGACGTGTCCTGAGGGTTTCTGGTGTCCTGAAAGAGCCTAATACAACCCCCTCCTATAGAATGAGCTACCAGAGGGCAGGGCTGCACTCAGCTCATCCCTGGTCCCCATGAGGCCCAGAACCATAGCTTATCCACAGTAGATATTCAAATATATGCCAACAACTGAACACTTCGGAAGCATTTCCAACCATATGACCCCACCCTCCCCACATACAGTAACACTGTTCAAACAAGACTAGTTCACTTATCTCACCAAAAACATCTGCTTATTCCCCAAACACCAGGTCTGGCACCCTTTGCCTGCTCACGGGACTCCACTCACTCCTTTGTGTTAGGTTTTCTTTTCCTTATTAATGTTCCAACCTTGGTTAGCCAACCTTGTGGGCAAAAGGAGAACCAAGCCTTCTGAAAGGCAGATGGACAGAGCCAGTTCCCTCAGTGGCAGGCGAGACTGGCCTCGGGAATGAGCGGGCAGGCTGGGTGAAAACAAAGAAGGGGTGCTCCAGGTCAGGGTGACGAGGCCAACAATGGTGGGTGTGGAGGAGGGAGGGGCTGAAAACAGCTTTAGAAGTTATGAAAAAAGCCTTGCCAGCTGGATGTGGAGGGAGCAGAGGACTTACTAAAAACGGCAAGGTTCTCAGAAAAGGTAACCCAAGTAGTAATGACAGAAGCAGCCAGCCAGAGGCATGAGGGGCAGAGAAGGAACTCTTCCTCTTTAGACCTGCAAAAGGTGAAAGGACACCGACGCTCCTCAGGCAGTCAGCTGTGTCCAAGTGGGGATCCAGTGAGAGGCTGGGGCTGCAACACATGGCGAAGGGGCTCCACCCATCCCAGTGCCTGTGACTAACATTGCTTTAGGACACTGTTAGGTGTCTTCCCGTTTAAAAGGTGAGTTCCCTCGTGTCTCACCAGTAAGTGGCACGTGCAGTGCTCTACACAACTGGCTTTGACAAATGTTTGATTAGCACAACTTCCACCTGAGACACAATTCATTCAGGATGGATGCAAGCTAATGTTTGTCTCCTTAGACGACAAAATAAAAGGATAGTTGGCCTTAGCCGGTTTGGCTCAGTAGCTGGAGCATCGGCCCACAGACTGAAGGGTTCCCAAGTTCAATTCCAGCCAAGGGGACTTGCTTGGGTTGCAGACTTAATCCCTGGCCCTGGTTGATGCACAAGCAGGAGGCAACCAGTCGATGTGTCTCTCTCACATCGATGTTTCTCTCTCCCCTGCTGGCTTAGTTGGTTCGAGCATCGTCCTGATACACCAAGGTTGAGGGTTGAATCCCCAGTCAGGGCACATACAAGAAGCAACCAATAAATGCATAAATAAGTGGAACAACAAACTGGTATCTCTCTTCTTCTTTCTCTCTCTCAAATCAATAAATAAAAATTTTTTAAAATAAATAAAAGGATATTTGCCAAAACTGCACACAAACTTAGGCTTCAAGCCTTCCCATGCTGAAGCCAGACACCTGGAACACAGCGAGACAGGGAAGCCACCCTCCTGGAGCTGGTTGTTCAAGGGTGGAGCAGGCAACCATTGGCTTTGGGGCAACGGAGGCCAAAGCAAATAGGCAGGCAATCCTCTCCCAAGATTAAAAGTGAGGTGAACCAGTGCCCCAGCCATTTTCTTCTGGGGCTCACTGCCACACTAACGGAGTTTTTTTGTTTGTTTGCATGTTTTTTAAAAAATGTCTTTATTGCTTTCAGGGAGAGGAAGGGAGAGGGAGAGAGAGATAGAAACATCAATGATGAGAGAGTCATTGATCGGCTGCCCCCTGCATGCCTCCCACTGGGGATCGAACCCGCAACCCATACATGTGCCCTGACTAGGAACGGAACCGTGATCTCCTGGATCCTAGATCAGCCGCTGAGCTACGCTGGCCAGGCAACAATCAAGAGTTTAAGGTGAAAAATCCATGGGTGTTTTTCAGATTTTAACCTTGAGTCCAAGCCCCAAAGAATTCTAGTCCCTTAAAAAAATTGCAAGTAAATGAAATACCTGTGGAAATGGCCTGTGGAATACCTACCAACAAATTCATAATTCTTCTCATAAAATGATAGCCAATTTTGAAGTGTCAGCATCTCAGAAAATGACAAGTCAGATACATCATCCACAAGGCCTGCTTCAGAGTAGTCCCCGGTCACAAAAGCTCTGGATGCATCTCGGCCTGCAGGAGAGAGGTTTCCAGTTGATTAACTTATAAATCACTGACACCCTACCAGCTCAAAAATCTATTTTCTGAGAAACATCTGAAAACTCCACTCTCCACCCCCTCTTGGACCTTGGACATACATTTTGGCATTTATCACATTCTTTGGTTTTCTTACAGCAGCATTTAATACAGCTGACCATGTCCCTTGGCTTCCATGACACTACACTCCTGGTTTTCCTCCTACCTCTCTAGCTCACTTTCTACCAGCCTCAGAGACCAATTATTTTCCACCTCCTCTACTCCATCCACACCCTCCACTTGACAATCTCATCCACTCCAATGGTTTCAGATACCACCTCAATACCAAAGACTGCCAAACTCAGACTTCTCTTGAGCTCTAGACCTGTATATCCAGTTGTCTACTCAGCATCACGTACATGTCTTACAGACAAGTTCAACACAAGTTCAAAACGTCCACACTGAACTAATGGTCATTAGCACCCCCAGTCCTAGAAAACATGCATCTATTCCAGTTTTCCCTATCTCAGTATATCAACCAGTTGCTCAAGCCAGAAATGTAGTCCTTTCTTTAAATATGTTTTTCTTGACTTCGGGGGGGGAGGGAGGAGGAAGAGAAACAGATGAGAAATATGGATTGGCTGCTTCCTGCACGCCCCCTACTGGGATCAATCCCTGCATGTGCCCTGATCAGGAACTGGACTGGCGACCTCTCGGTACATGGGACGATGCTCAGCTAACTAGCCACACCAGCTGGGCCAGAAATGCAGTCCTTGATGTCTCCTTCATCCCTCACATCCAATCAGTCCCCAAGTCCCATAACCTAAACAGTTCTTGTATCAATCTACCTTTCTCCATGTACCACTAAGCAAGCCCAGACTGTCACCATTTTTCATCTGAACTACTACAATAAACCCCCAGCAGTTTTTTCTACATTCATTCTTTCCCCACTAATCTATTTTCCATATAACACTTAGACTGATTATTTTAAATATAAATTGATCATGTCATTCTCTTGCTTAAAAATTCTCAGTGGCTTCCTTTTGCCCTAAGACAATGTGAAAATTCCATAACATGCCATTCAGGACCCTGCACCAACTGCCACCAACCTTGCTTTGCCTCTGTGCTCCCTGGCCTCTGGTAACAGCAGCATGTTTTCCTTTTAACACTCATCATGAATTGTTTATGTGACACCTACTGAATGAATGTATGTCTTTTCTACTAGTCCGAAAGTTTTATAAGGGAACCACCAAACTCCTTTAGTGCTGTATCTCGTAGTGCCTATTTTTTAGTAAATTCTCAATAAGTATTGACTGAATGAAATCCAATTATTTTCAAAAAGAATGTCAAGATAATTCAAAGAGGGAAAGAATACTCTTTTCAACGAGCGGTGCTAGAACAACTGAACAGCCACATACAAAAGAATGAAATTAGATCCTTCCTCATACCATGTATAAAATTAACTCAAAATAGATCCATGGCCTGAATGTATGAACTAAAGCTATAAAACATAGAAGAAAACACAGGTGTAAAGTCTTTGTGACCTTGGATTTTGCAATAGTTTCTTAGGGCACCAAAAGCACAAGTAACCAAAGAAAAAAGCTGAACTTGATTAAAATTTAAAAATTTTGTGCTTTAAAGGACACTATCAAGAAAATGAAAAGACAACCTACAGAATCGGAAAAAATATTTGCAAATCATGTATCAGTATCCAGAATATATAAAAAATTCTTATAATAAAAAGACAACCCACTTAAAAAATGGACAAAGAATTTGAATAGACATTTCTCCAGGGAGCATATGCAAATGATAAACAAGCACATGAAAAGATCTCAACATCTTTAGTTATTAGGGAAATGCAAATAGTCAAAATCACAATAAGATACCATTTAAAACCTACTAAAATGATTATAATAAAAAAGACAGCTAACAAGTTTGGTGTGGATGTGTAGAAACTGAAACTCCAATACACTGATGGTGGGACTGCACAATAGTGCAGCCACTTTATTTTTTTTATTTTAAAAAAAATACATCTTTATTGATTTCAGAGAGAGGAAGGGAGAGGGAGAGAGAGAGAAACATCAATGATGAGAGAGTCATTGATTGGCTGCCTCCTGCATGACCCCTGCTGTGGATTGAGCCCAAAACTGGGGCACGTGCCCTGACCAGGAATTGAACCTGGATCTCCTGGATCATAGGTCGATGCTCAACAGCTGAGTCACGCCTGGCCGGGCATAGGGCAGCTACTTTAGAAAACAATTTGGAAGTATCTCAAAAAGTTAGTTACTTGGCAATTGCACTCCTAGGTAAATACCCAAGATAACTGAAAACATGCCCACACAAAAGCTTGCACCTGAATGTTTATAGCAGCATTATTCATAGTAGGCAAAAGTGGAAACAACCTAAATCCCAACAAGTGATGAATAAACAAAAGCGGTATATTTATACAATGGACTATTATTTGGCCATAAAAAGGAATGGAGTACTGATAATACCATGGATGAACTTGAAAACATTATGCTAAGTGAAATAAGCCAGTCACAAAAGTCCACATGTATGATTCCAATTATATGAAATATCCAGAACAGGCAAATCTTCAGAGACAGAAAGAAGACAGCGGTTGTCAGGGGTTGAAAGATAGAAGGAAATAAGGAGTGACTGCTAATGGACATGGGTTTCTTTTTTTTAGGTGGGGAGGGTGGATAAAAATGTTCTGGAGCTCTAGATGGCTTGGCTCAGTGGTTAGGGTGTTGGCCCAAGGACTAAAGGGTCCCAGGTTAGACTCCAGCCAAGGGCATATACCTCAGTCACAGGCTCAATCCCTCAGCCCCAGTCGTTGTGAGAGCAGGAGGCAACCAATCGATGTGTCTCTCTCACATCCATATTTCTATCTCTCTCGCCCCCACCTTCCACTCTCTCTGAAAAGCAATGGAAAAAATACCCTTGGGTGAGAATTAAAAAAATAAAAATAAAAAAATAAAAGAGTGCTCCTCTTTTAAAAAAAGCTCTGGAATTAGAAAGCAGTAATGTTTGCACAACTTTCTGACTATACTAGAAACCAATGAATTATGCACATTAAAGGGACGGATTTTACATTACATGAATTCTATCTTAATAAAAATAATAACTGAGCCCAGCTGGCGTAGCTCAGTGGTTGAGCGTTGACCCATTAACCAGGAGGTCACAGTTCGATTCCAGGTGACCCATGAACCAGGAGGTTACAGTTGGATTCCAGGTGGGGCACATGCAGGGGTTGCAGTCTCCATTCCCAGTAGGAGGCATGCAGGAGGCAGCCGATCAATGACTCATCATTGATGTTTCTATCTCTCTCCCTTCCTTTCTCTGAAGTAAAAAAAAAAAATATTAAAAAAATATTGACTGAAAAAATGAATAAATGAAACAAATAAATCTGCCTCTCTACTAGACTGTGGGAGATGAGAAGCATTTTATAATCATTGATTCCTCAGCACCAGGCATAAGGCAGGCTACATGGTAGTGGTCAATAGATGGATGTTAAAAGAACAACGGGCACAATGGATGTTGAAGGAACTAGGTAGACAGTAGAGCACATTGCAAAAGAAATATCACCCCAGAAATGGAGGGTTTTGTGCTCACACTTGTGGATATAGCCATGACAGTTGCATCAGGATGCTGCAGGACAGTGCACCATTAAGTGCCTTCTCCTGGCCGGTAAAATAAAACCCTTGATTCCAATCTCAGCTCCACTTCTAACTCAGTGTGTAGCCCTTGGTAAGTCCCTTCCCCTGATAAACTGAGGAGCTTGGCAACACCAACTGAACTTCATTCCTTTTCTGTCTGTGCTTCTATTTCTCAAGTTCTTCCAGAGACAGACAAGTGACCTGTATTTAAGTACAAGAGCCAGCTTCCCAATTCCCCTAAGATAATGAATGACAAGTGGAAAACGCTTATTTAGTATCAGCCTAGTTATTGGCCTTAAGCTCGCTCTGCTTTTTTTTTCTTTTTTTTCTCCTCTTTAAATCTTGGAGATGGTCCTTCCTCTGGGCTGGTAAGGCAACATCTCTAAAAATAATACGCTGGCGGTCTTAGTCCAAGTCCTGTTAGTACTTAGGTGTAAAGGCTTTAGGCAAATTACATCCTTTAACCCCCCTCAGCTGTGAAAAAGGGTCAGCAGAATCACCTTAATTGGACAAGTGTTCTTTGAGGCCTAACATACACACAGCCTTAAGTATTTAAGGACTGCGAAGGTGACCAGACTCCCCCGCGCTCTAACCTCATCATCTTTTTTAAGAAAGGCAGACAGGTGCATCTGCAGCAGAAGCAAGAACTACTCAAACCAAATGTACTGTTTTTAGGGGAAACTTAGATCCCGACAAGTTCAAGAGAGGGCTGGAATCAGCAGGGGAACTGACTGGGGGTAGGTAGGGGCAGGGTTTCATTCATCCCTGCGCCCCGAGAGCCGCGCAGGGTGGCACAAGGCAGGTGTCCCATCGGGGCGTCTGCCGGCGGGTAACGGGGTAACTAACGGGAGGCGGGAGACGCGTTTCTCCACAGTGTCGGCGAGAACGATGGGAAACGGCAGGGAGGACAGAGGCCGGTGACTGCGGGCTATCGTCTCGCCGGCTCCGAGAGACTAGAAGGATGGCGCGGCTGAGCCCGACGCCCCCGGGGGTCTGATGAATGCGGGGAGAAAAACAGCCGATGAATAAATGAACGAACGCCGCGCCCGCGGCTACGCGCCGGAGCGAGACAGG